GGCTTTATAAAGCCGTCCTAATACTTCACGTGCTTTTGATTATATGCCTCTGTTTATACAGCCAACAATTGGCTTAGCTTTTTTGGCTGCTGCCACACCCTGCTGACTCATGTTTAAGTGATCGTCTACCAGGACTCCAGTATCCCTTTCACGGTTACTATTTTTGAGCGAGGATTCGCCTACTCTGTACTTATGTCTTTGGTTTTTCCTGCCTAGGTGTAAAGCCTTGCTTTTCTCCACATTAAATTTCATGTTGTTGGAAAGGGCCAATTGTTCAAGTCTGTAAGGATCTTTTTGAATCCTGAGCTTGTCTTCTGTGGTGTTGGCTATTCCTGCCAGCTTAAGGTCATCTGCAAATTTGATGAGTTCTGATTTCTGATTTCTATGCCACTCAATTCCAAAAACAAAAAAGTCCTTCTGAAACAAGATCTTGACAACTTTGTAACAATTAATATTTTTATAATACTGGGTACTCACATAAATTCAGACCAAGACTGTGCTCTATAAACAATATTTGTAGCAACATTAGTTCCCCCCCCCCAAAAACCCACCAAAAGCACACTTAATACTTAATAACCTATAAAGCCTCCAAAGTTCAGATAACTTATCAGCCACTAACATATGCATTTGTGAAAAGGGTGATAGCAGTTTAAAAAGCCTCTGATCTTGTCCCCCAAGGATGCCTTTTGACAGCCTTCTTATCTAGAATGTTTCCTTAAAGGCAACTGAACCCTGGAATCAATCAACACTTAAAAGACATGGGGATTTTGACACCTAAGGCCATGCACTTTACACCACGCCTTGGCCAGGAAGATCTTTTCTAATAAAGGAGATAACAAGGATAATATTTCCTCTAACTATAAAAGGCCATGTGTCATTTTCTTTCTTTCTTCCAGTCATAAAACCATCTATTTTCCTCACAGCATGTCTTTTACCAAAGGTTTGAAATCATATTATATCATCTCTTGCTGATAGGCCAGTCTATTGCTAGTTGCCCCAAAAGCAGCCAGCCTCCGTGCCTTGATTTTGGGGATGGTTATACTTTCCAGGAAGACTGCTAATGATCTCTCAGCTCAAAAGAAAGGAACCCAGGGAAATTCTCCCAGCAAAGGCAAAGAGGAAAAGGAAAGGAAGGAAAAAGGATCATTCTATAAGCAAATTGAAATTGATTTTCTTCATCTTGAAGTGAAGCTCAAGGTCACAGAAATAACATATGTATAGTAGTTTTCTTGGCAATATTATTATGAATATTGAAATGATGTTATGACATTGCCTTCTTCACATTTTTTCAACTTCCCAACTTTTCTCCCGTTGTAGTGAGTTTTTCTGACAGTTCTATCTGTGTAAAAACTGCTTAGCTTTTGGAGATTTATCACTGTAAACTGTGTACTACACCCTAGCTAGAAAAGTAGGCAGACCTACTTTTGACTCTTCCTCCCAATATTTGATATTGCAAGTTAAGTTGCATAGTAAAAGCCAGTTTGGTGTAAAGGGTTAAGTCATCAGGCTAGAGACTTGGGAACCATGAATTCTAGTCACTAGGCACAAAGATAGCTTGTAAACTTCTGAAACCTCGCCAAGAAAACTTCATGCACTATATCCATTCAAGTAGTGGGCAGGAGTCAATACTGAGTTGAAGGCCACCCCCCCCCACACCAAACTGCTTAGCAAGAATGAATACACCCCACATACACAGAAACAATATTTGTATATAATATTATCATGTTCATGTTAACCGTTAGTTTGTGTATTTTATTTTAATAATCAATAATAATCATATATATTCTTTACACCAAATTAATTTTGTTTCTCTCACTGTCCCAATTATCTCTTAGTCATTAACACAGATCCATGATTCACTGAGACTGGAAACTATGGGAAATACATTATAGCAATAGTTTGGCAAATTGCACCTGTTATCAACTGACAATAGCAAAACCAAGTACCTGAGCAAGAATTATTAACCAACGAACATTCAGTCACCTTCCCCATGATCACAAATAGGCTGCCCAAAAGGCAAGCCAGCAGATATTAATTAAGACTGACATTTTGATAGTCAAGCACTAGAACCAGCTGGTATACAGATCCCCTGCCCCCTCTAACGCCACGCCAAGGACCAGTCCCCCCATAAAAGTACCCCGTTTTCTTTGCAGCCTACCACCGAGAACAAGCCTCTTTGCTTTGGGGAACAAATGGGTCTCCTTTTCACCTGCAACGCACTTTGCGTCTTATTTTTATCCAGGCTCGGAAAAGGGATCCAGAAAAGTATTTTAAGGAGTCCTAATATAAGAAGTACAGGTGGCCCTTGATTTACAACCACAATTGAGCCCCAAAATTTCCATTGTTAAGCGAGACATTTGTTAAATGAATTTTGCCCCATTCTACGACTCTTCTTGCCATAGTTGTTAAGTGAATCGTTGGAGTTGAAAGGTTAGTAACACAAACTTCCTGATTGCCTTCGCTTGTCAGGTTACAAACAGTAACCACGTGATCTTGGGACACACAGCAACAATCATAAACTCAGGTGCCAAGGACCTGAATTTGGATCGGATGATCGTGGGGAGGCTGGGAAGGTCGTAAGTGTGAAAAGCTGTTGCAAGTCACTTTTTTCCAGTGCCATTCTAATGGTCACTAAACAAACTGTTGTAAGTGGAGGATTACACCCCACCAGAAACAACCCTCACATAGAAAGAGCCTCGTTTGGGGAGGCTACACATTTATTAAGGTTCCCTTTCCTAGAAACGGCAAAGAAGAAGCTAACTTTCCACACCCTTTAGAAACAAGGGGGATTTTGGGAGGGCATCAGCAGACCGCAGATGGACAATTATTCCAATAACGTCCCTGAGCAACGGAGGGTGATGGCGTAAAGCCTACAAACAGGTGCGGAGTGTTGCCATGTAGCCCTCCCTGCACACCGGCCAATCCTTCGGACTACCGATGCTCCACGGGCGTTAACACCCCTCGGCCTCCGGCTTAGACCTCAGCGCTATGACCGGAGCCGGCCCTTCCCGGACCGCCTCCCCGCCTCCCCCGCTGAATGAAGAGAAGCACCTGAAGGAGGAAGCCGCCCTGCTCCTCCACCGTGAAGCCCTTGGAGGCGGGCGGCGGGCGGTAGATGGCCGCCCGGACAGCCTCCCCGTTGGGGTTCTCCACGGCCAGGCGGCGGACGCGCGAAGTACCGAGGCGGACGGAGCCGAAGCTGAGGAAGGGAGGCCGGGAGAAGTGGCCGAGCGACAGCACCGCCTCGTCCCCATCCTCGCAGCCCGGGGAGGCGGCGCTGCGCTTGCTGCTCTCCGGAGGACGCGGCTCCCGAAGCCCGGCTGGCCCCGCACCCTGCCGCCTGTCCTCCATGCGCGGGGAACGACCGTCGTCAAGGCGCCCCGCGGAGAACCAGAAGGGGGGGAGACACACACGGGCGCCTTCAAAAGCTCGCAACCGCCGTTCCAGAATTCAAATTTGCCGCTTCCGCCAATCAGGGGGACTGACCAATAAACGCAGCCAGTTCTCACCTGTTTTTTTCCTCCAATCGCCAAGCGGCTCTTGACAAAGATTCGACCAATCGCTTGAGACGTTTGTTTTTGTTTTTTCTCCATCGTGCTTTCACGCCTTTTCCTTATTCCAGTGGTTCCCAACCTTGGCAACTTTAAGACTTGTGGACTTCAACTCCCAGAATTCTCCAGCCAGCAGACCTGGAGCAGAACAGAGCTGGCTGGGGAATTCTGGGACTTGAAGTCCGGACATCTTCAAGTGGCCAAGGTTAAGAAACCCTGAACTATGATTTACAAACCCTGGCTGGGTTCACACCACCACCCAGAATCAAAACTACCTGATAATTTAGTGTATCATGTGAATCATTCCTTACAAGGAAGACTCAGTGCATAAAAACAGCCGTTTCCTTTTTTTCCCCAAGCTGCAATTGTTATTTCCTCTATTCAGGATCTTTCTCTGCAGGAAAGATCTGGTTCACTGGATGCTGTCCAGGGAAAACTCAAGACAGCAAGTGTAGCTACTGAGTTGAGCGCTGCTTTATTACACTCGGTCTCCTTTCTGGGGCGGCTGACGAATTTGAAAGGGAAATTCCACGAACGCTCCCTGGGAGCCGGAGGGTAAAGAGGAAACCTCCCCCTCTGCGCATGCGCCACCCCTTCGCTTTCCCTCTTGCTCAGCCTCTTCCCCCCCCCTCCACGTGCCATAGAGCCGGAAAGACAGACCTGCCCAGCTTCCTGTCAAAAAACTCGGTCTGCGTGACGTCAGCCTTTACTCACACACACATACGCCCCTCCCCTTCCCCTCCCGCATGGAACCCGGAAGTGATGGCGAAACCTGAGGGGGGGGCGTGAGGGGCGCGACGGGTTTTTTCCCTGAGGGGGGGGGGGCGTGTTTTTTTCCCCCTTTCCTTTCGGCCCTGATGGAGGCAAATGGGGAAGAAGAAGGAGCAGCGGCGGCGGGGTTCCCGAGAGCCCGGGACCGTTACTTGCCCCTTTCCTCGGCCAGGGGGGGACGGTACGTGAGAGGCTCCTCCCCTCGCTGGAGGCCGCGGTGGCGGTAGGGGTGGGGGGGCTTCGGGGGGTTTCCGAGGGGCGCAGCTTCACTCTCGCCACCCCGGCCCTGTCTGTGGGGGGGGCGGAGGGGTCAATCCGACATCCCCCAGGCTCCGTTTCCCCTCTGCTTAGAACTAGTCCGAACCTCCTTGGATCGGCCCCGAAGGCCGCGTCGTGGTTAAAGGTCGCCGGGTGGGGGGAACGGTTGAGGAAGGGTCAGGCGCACGTTCTTCTGCCGCCCACCCTGCGACTGAGGCCGGTCCCCCCCCCCCCGGGAAGCCCCCTGAGGCCCGTTCCCCCCATTTCCTTCCTTCCCGTGGCGTTAGGAAACAGTAAACAGAGTTGGAAGGGACCTTGGAGGTCATCTAGCCTAACCCCCTGCTCACGCAGGAGACCCCTGCCAGGGATTCGAACCGCCGAACTCTGCCGACCTTTCTGGTCGACAAGCCGCTGGGCTGTTGCCTCTGCATGCAGGCTGAACAAAATGTTTCTATGCCCCTGCCGCCTCTCTCCTTGCCCTGCTGGCTCCACGGAAGGAAGGAAGGAAGGAAGGAAGGAAGGAAGGAAAAGGAAAGAAGGAAAGAAGGAAGGAAGGAAGGAAAGAAGGAAGGAAGGAAAGAAGGAAGGAAGGAAAAGGAAGGAAGGAAAGAAGGAAGGAAGGAAAGAAGGAAGGAAGGAGAGGGATATACGGGGTGACAAGAAAGCGACCCGATTGTGCTTTTTATATTCTTAAATAGATTGTGATACATTGTAGACGTCAATAGATAAATGTTGACAGTACCTATGAGAATGTATATCTCTGTATGTATATGGAAAGAAAAAATAAAACTTTCTATGAAAATAGAAAGGGTGGATGCCAATTCTCAGGACCTCACCAAATGTGGAAGTAAATTAACTGGTGTTAAAAAAATGGAATGAATCTAGATTTTTTTTCAGTGGTTTCAAAGAAACTTATTTAATCCATTTGCAGGTCATAACTTCAAGTATCACTGAAGCAACTATTTGTTTGGAAAAGTTTGGCTTATTCATAACAGTTCTGATTTTTACATGGCACAATTGCAATGAAGAAGAGAAGAAGGCTTAATGTAAATGTAGATGACAAAATACATCTTGGTCAGCCAAGGGAGCAAACGGAGAAGATTCCCCTAACAGAAGACTCTGAACAGGAGGCTCGTGTGGATTCTGCGGAAGTAGCTCCTGGAGACCAGCTGACGTATTCCAAAGAACTTTCTCTGCTGCTCGATCAAAGAAAACTTTTAACTTCTTTGCAGTACAATACAAATCTACTGAAATATTTAAATGATGATCGACAGAAGCAGCCGTCTTTTTGTGACCTTCTTATAATTGTCGATGGAAAAGAATTTAACTCCCATAAAGTAGTAGTTGCTGTTGGGAGCAGTTACTTCCATGCTTATTTGAGCAAAAATCCAAACACAAATGTTATTACCTTGGATCATGTAACGCATTCAGTTTTCCATCACCTGCTTGAGTTTCTTTACACATCACAGTTTTTCTTAAATAAAAATGAAATACCTTTAGTTTTAGAAGCAGCAAAATTTTTAGATATTATTGATGCAGTTAAATTGCTAAATAGTGAAAATGTTTCCATTTCCCAATCTGAAGAGAAAACAAAACCCCCATCTCGGCTAGAAAAGACAACTGAACAAACACCTAAAACAGCCAACAATCATCAATGCACTTTATGTAATCGTAATTTTTGCTACAAGAAATCATTAGAAAATCATTTGTCCAAAGCACACAAATCTCCTGCACGGAACAAAGAGCATGGGCGAAAAATGGTTGAGAAGTCAGTAATTTGTACTAGACGATCAGTGAGAAATCGTAAATGCCCAGCCAAGTTTGATCAGAGTGACAATGAAAGTGGCAACACATCAGATACCAATCTAGATACAGTTGCTCCTAGTAAGGAGAGCAATGGATCCGAGGACAGTGGAAGTGAATACAACACTGATGGGCAGGAAGAGGAAGACGATACGGAGTCTGAAGAACACAGCGAAAAAGAATGTGGTGAAGAGGCCCGTGAGCCAGATGGCCCAGCAGGAAATGTTTCTGAAGACAATCTTTCCACCTGTATCCCACCTATTCTTCAGAATAGCAGCAAAAAATGCTTGCAGTGTCCTAAGTGTGATAAAAGTTTTGATCGACCAGGTAAATCAGAATATGTTTTGTCTTTTACCTTTGCAGGGATAGGCTCAAAGGCAATCAAGTCATTTTCAATCTTGGGTTACCATCTAGGGCCAGATTCTATGTATAGAATTGCGATTATTCTTTAGATCTTAAATATATCCATGGTGCACTTAACAGCACATGCAAAACTTTAGGCATCCCTTGTAAAAACTAATGCTTCACTGAATCCTTAAATGAACAGAAGCTGACACAATATATCTCTACCATTCAAGGCAGCATATATAATACTCCTCCTTATTTTATCCACAGCAACAATCCTGCAGTTAATTTAGCTGAGGAAGACCCAGCTGGCTATCAGATGGCTAATTGAAAGACTTTTTTTTTTTACACCTCTATAAGAGCCATTTTTCAAATGCTCAGAAAGCTGTTAGAGAAACTCTTAGCTTCTGAAATAAGATGAAACAGTCACACAGCCTGGGAAGTTAGGTAATTTAATGACCACATCTGTACAGTTGTCCTGACCTAATTGAACTATAGGTCTAGTAAATGAATCACTTCATTGGGCCTCACTAACAAGTACAATAAAAATGAACGGTATATCCACACTGCTATGCATGTCACATTAACTGTTATCTTCTTTTGAATCTGCCTACAACTGGATTTCAAGAACACTGCGTGCTCTCACACATACACACAAGTTGCAGGCAAACAATATTGAGATTAATAAGTAATGTTAAATTAGACCTCAGAAATATAGACAAAAGTCTTTCCCTCCTCCCCCCATTCAAATGTTTCATCTCCACTCAAATTTCACCTGTGTCATTTGGGGCCTTCAATCAATGTAGGAATATGTCCCTACAGTTATGAAAATATATTAGCATTGTGATATACACTATAAGGTATACTAATTTCTATGCATTATAAAACAATGTTCATTCAATAAACAGCAAATTAGCTTCACTGATATATAAACTCCATTCAAGGAAAAATGCATGTAGCTCATTTCAAACAGTGCAACAGACTTGCACATGTTTGGCAGTATTTAGTTATAGAGATTTTGGGCTGTTATACTATTGAATTGTAGAATTTTGACCCCTCACCATTGGTTATTCTAAATGGGATAGTTCGGAGCTACAATTCAACAGCATCTGGAGAGTCTAGAGATTAATGGACTGCTCTTTAAATTATTGCTTCTCAACTGGTATGTGGTAACTTTGGTAACCTTATCAGTTTACTATTAAGTCAATAGAAGCATAGCCATCTTTCTTAGAGAAGAAAAAGCCTAGCCCTGATTCTGGATACCCTTTTGCCCAATGTGCAATTTTAGGCTTGCAGTTCAATGGAACATTTTTATTTATTTATTTAATTTTTATAACTGCCCATCTCAATCAATAACTCTGGGCAGTTTAACTATTCAGAAAATATGCTGCAATTAAAAACATCTTTGAACACTACAAAATATATATCTTTTATTTTGTAGGGAAATTTGAAAGCCATGCTCGAGTGCATACGGGTGAAAAGCCTTTTGAATGTGATATTTGCGAGCAGCGTTATTCAACCAAATCTAATTTAACAGAACACAGGAAGAAACACAACAGTGCATTGGAATTTCATAAAAAGGAACACAAATGTTCATATTGTAACAAACTGCACGCCACCAAAAAGACCCTGATAAAGCATGTAAAAAGGCAAGTATCACTGATGCTGCATTTTGGGTAATAGAATGATCATTTAGTTTCCTTTTATTATAAAATTATCTAAGACTATGCTGCAGGATATTGGATGTAAACAATAATCCAGTTAAATACATGGCAACTTACTTTAAATGTGTCGGGTGTTAAAAGCACGCATAACATACATGAGCCTTTTCCAATCATGCCCTGCCTGGAGATGAGGAAAATCTAGAGGACCTCCTCCGGCTGAGTAAAATTGTGCATATTTATAAAGTGGTATATCAGTAGTTGTAGTCGTCATGAATCAAATCAGGATATATGCTCTCTACCAAGCATGTGCGCTTGGGAAGTGAGATTCTCATCAGTATGTTCAGTAGTATTACATATTCTTTTTAATGTACGTCCTTCTGTTTGGTGAATATTGAAAGGTGATTTAAATAAATTGGGGCAAAAAGTCCTTAAAGAGGATGACTAAAAGCACTTTAAAAAAACAGTTGACATTTGTGCTGATGTCAAATTGTAAATCTCAGCTTGGGTTATATACATAACTTTTCAAATGGGGATATAGATTAAGAAACTTCAAATATTTTGCTTTCTTTATATGCAATACGGGATAATATTTCTTTTTCATAATTATACAATTAGGCCAGCAAGCAGCAACAAAATGCAAACTAGTGATTTGTTTCCTGTGTTATATTTATTAAATAAATAATGTCTTAGTAGATTCCCTCCGTAGATTTCATCCTGAAAATGTACAAGAGTTTCTATCTACCAGGAAGAAAAAAAGTGAAGGATGGAAATGTGAGGTAAGTATGATTTTGGTTTCACTGAAATTATTTGATACTTCTGACTTATTTTTTTTAAATCTGTGACTTGAATCCAGATTGGAGGCTGTGCATTTATTTACTGAAGTTCTTGAATTTGCTGTTTCGACTGCTACTTAGAACTATTGTAAATTGTTTTAGAATGTTTGTCAAGGAGCTGCAGGAGGAAAGGGATTTTTGAAATTCCAGAACATGAACAAAAGCTTTGCTCCATGCTCTTGGTTATGCTGCTGTTTTTATGCTGCGAGAATAACATGCTGATGTTGTTTGAGTACATTGACCTGCTAAAACAATTAAGTGACTAAATCATAATGTTATGGATAAATGGGAAATCCTACGTTTCATTATGTAGTTTAGTGTGTAAATAGTGTACGTTGCAGTTGGGCTCAGGATAATAAAAATAAAAAGTACCGAAATATGACTTTGTGGCTTATTGACGCATGATCTTTTTGGTGAATGCTTCAATAAAGTAAATTTAGTGGAGAAAATAGTATGTAGCAATCCACACTGAGTAAATCACCGTATATGCTAAAGTTAGGATAAAAGTTCAAGCCCCAACACTGACACAAGTCTTTAAGAAGATATTGGGTAGCCATCTGTCTGAAAGGGTTTAGGGTTTCCTGCCTAGGTAGCGGGTTGGACTAGAAGACCTCCAAGGTCCCTTCCAACTCTGCTATTGTATTGTATTGTAACAAGATTAACAGAGAAGCAAAATAGTCATAATTATGCAATTGCAGAGTAAAGTTATTTCCCGAAAGCTTCCATATGTGTTCACATATACATATCAGTAGATAAGCCCAACCCTCAAATTTTCAACCAAAAGATTATGAAAAAGGCATTATCTACGGATAAGCCAATCCACATTTTTCATTGTATTGTGGTTAAAATATTTGAGCGTCAGATAATTTCATTTGAGTATATACAAAAATTACAAATACTTTAAAAATGTTACTGTGGATACCTGTGGATAAGCCTATACTTGGATAAGCCAAACCCAATTTTTGGGTACATTTTGGCACCTAAAATTCTCAGCTTGTTTGCAAATGTAAATGTAATGTGCTTGTTTATAATTCATTCCTTTGAGTGATAAGATTGGGTTTGTGTATATATTTTCATGGATAACTTGACTTTCTCCAGGAAGCTGAAGGTTGTGTATTTTACTTAATCATTGCCTATTGTTATTGCTACAGATTTGCAATAAGTCTTTCACCCGAAGACCTCACTTGGAAGAACACAGAATTCTTCATACTCAGAACAAGCCTTTCAAATGTACCTATTGTGAAGAGCATTTTAAATCCCGTTTTACGAGATTGAAACATCAAGAAAAGTTCCATTTAGGTAAGAAAATATTCAGTGCAAATATGTTTTTAATTCATTAGCTGAATTGAATTCTGTATACCAGTTTTCCAAATCTCTATTCACAGTGTTTAAACAATTCTTTAAACTGCTTGAAGGTGAGTTTCAATTTTTGGACAAATTAATTAAACAAATCCTTATTTAGAGACTGGAAAAAAACCCCTCAAATTTCATTTAATCTAGTTATAGTTAGGGATTTACAGTACAGTAGAACATCTGGTCACGAACGCTTCTGACCACAACCAAATCGGGTGACGCAAACGTTTGCATCTGGTTGCGAACAAATATTGGCGATCAAATACAGCCACGGCGATTTCCCCTTCCACGCCATTTTTTTGTACGCGCACGTGCAGTCAGTCTCGCTTCCGGTCACAACCAAATCAGGTTGCGACCCAAGTCATGGAAGGGATTACGGTGGTGACTGGAGGTTCTACTATATATGTTTTGCAGCTCACAGGTTATTTCCCCCATCCTCCACTTCAGCCCATCTATTTGATTCCACCACTTTAGTCTAAAGTTGATCCAGGCCAATTTTCCATTAACCTGACCAATTACTTGATTTTTAACATTAGTTTAAAATTACAAAAACTGTTTTTCAATGAATTCTGAAAAATGCAAAAAAAATATAAGCCCAACAACAGAAGAGAGGTGGGGAAAGTTATCAGGGTCACTTCCTGTTTGGTTTTTTTAAAAAAATGTAATAGCTTTGTGAGCTACTAAACCTTTGGACACTCTGTTCTCCCAGTTTTCTTGGAAACAGTAAATTTTTAGACTTTGAACAGAAATGATTAAAAATTTTCTCCTAAACCATTTTCTTTGTTGCTGAGAACTAAAGTAACATATGAAACATTGATCTGTTTATATTTCATTATTTGTTTAGTCGCATGTAACAAGTCGCATGTGTGTGTTTGCTGAATAATCAGACAAATAAAAGAACATTGACAATTTTTTTTGTCAATGTTGTCATTAAAATCTATTAGGGGGAAAAATTGCTGCAATTCTATTTAATGCATTAGCACAACTGTATTATACTTGAAATAGAAAGATTAGGGGATGTTTATTTTTTGAAGTACCTCTCAATATAAAAAAGTAACAGAGAAGGACTCAAGGTTATTGGGATTCAACAATACATGGAAGATATAACTACACTTCTTAGCATCTCTCCCCCCCCCGCCCCCCTTGTTTTTGGAGCTTTAAAAGTTGTGGTTGTGATGTTGACATGGAAACAGCAGATTTGCTTAGCTACACAGAAGCTACAGAAGAGGAGATAACTATTTCTGTGTTTCTAATTTTGTTTAAGGATAAATGGATTTTATAAAGATAAATCATGACTCTGCTTTTTAAGAGCCATCTTCAATCTGGCGTTTCTTTTCTGCAAGTCACTATTGGTAATTTGGTACATTTTGAGGAAAATTGTTCATTTAATAAACATCTGTTAAAACAATTGCTTTCTCCTGTTCAAGAAGACTTCAAGAGGTAGTTTGGCTCTTTATGCTAATACAATGCTAAACGATTATTTGAGTCAGAGAATCAAATTTCAAAAACCTTAGGGGTTGATCAACCCACTTTGGCTAAGTGAGACCGAGAGTTTTAGATCTTGGCAAAAATACAGGAAAGAATCAAATGGCAGACAATTCATAGATAAACTGGTCAAGGAAGTCACTATTGATAGTTACGACACCATAATTTAATGTCCTACCAAGGTGTCCATAAAAATGTAATATCAATGTGTTTAAGTTTTACAAAAAGAAGAGAATGCAAAAAAAAAAAAAATTACAAAGCTGTACAAAATGTTTTCCTTTTTGGTAGTAAAGTTTTGGTAAGCTTAATTTATTATGTCAGAATTACCAGTTGCAACTTCCGGGAAAGAAATGATGAACTGTTTAAAAATGGATGATTGATGTTCTTGTGGTTAGGTATTTCAAAACGAAGAAAATATTTTGTTCCATTTTGTATTTTTGTGTTCCAAAACATGAGTTTATTAATGATTCCGATCACTTGCTCGAGTTGCATAAATGTAAAATTGAATTCCTGTGTCTTTTCAGGACCTTTTCCATGTGATATTTGTGGTCGCCAGTTTAATGACACTGGAAATCTGAAGCGCCATATTGAATGCACTCATGGAGGAAAGAGAAAATGGACTTGCTTTATTTGTGGAAAATCAGTTAGAGAAAGGTATGCTTAATACACATGCTGTGTTTAATATAAATTAAATAGAAAGCAGATCTATGAATTCATCAATATTTTAAAAAAATATTGTAAAAGCAGTTGAACAATGTAATTGTATAGTGGAGAACTTCTTTTGATGCTAATTAGCGCGTATATGTTTCTCAGAATATCCCGTTCCATTTATTTCCCAAGTCTTTACTCATCAATCAGCATTTCTATATACTGAGCCGAGGGGAAACTCCATTGAATTGTAGGGTTTCTGGTGTATGTTTTTATTTGATGTCCATACCTTGTTTATCTTGTGTAACTCAAGGCAGAATGAACAATGCTCCTTCCTCCTTTGATCCTCACAAAACTCTTTGAAATAGGTTGGGCAAAAAAAGAGAAGAAGAATCTGTCTAAAAACACCCAGCCAGTTTCTGGGCCTAAAGAAAGTCCATCACTTACTGGCTCCCATTTTTATATCAGTGAAATTTTTGTTTATTTTTTTCTGCTGCTTAGGTTAGATAAAATGAGTGTTGTACAGCACATTGAATTAAAAAAAGAAAGGCTGCTTTGCAGTTCAGAAACTCATTAATATGTCAGCAACCTTTTCTGGGACTATAACAGCTGCAGAATGATCCTCAAGAGAGATGCATTTGGGAAGTGCTATATCTACACCACCATTTTCTTCTTTGTAGCAAAGGTTTTTCCTGCTTAATAAAGATGGGCGCCTGAGACTTGATGATTGGTAAACGCTAAGAAAGACTAAGAAACAACCCAAAGGAAGACTGTGCAGATCAGCAGAGGCTTCATTCCCAATAGACAAGAATATGGACAGGCAGAGGAAGAGCCTTTGGTCAATGTGTTAAACGGCCTTTTTCAGATTCTTCCTTTCCTCTCTTTCTTTTTCCTTCTCGGGCATCTTATGTGCTATCGGCACACTTACTTAGTTTATTTTATATTCTGTGTATTTACACATTCAACTACATAGCATAGGAGAATTCTCAATTTTGTGACTTTGTGTGACTTAAAATGATAACTAAGTTTGTGTTCCTCCTATGAATATCAGCAGTGATTTTATTAGGATTGGAATTGGACAGCAGATTAATTTTTAAAATTAAAATTTAATCTATACACGAAATAAAATGGCAGAATCTTATAATTTTAAAAAGGAACGATAAAATCCTTATCTTCAGTTACACGTACACTTCTACAGAGACCCCAAAGACTGTGGATGTACAGTACATGGTGTCCCAAAGTATTGCACTAATATTTTTAGAATGTCCTGGGTGCTACATGATGTGCTGGGAGAAATGTCAGAAACATACATGCATTTCCCCAAAAGGCCAAGCCCAGCGGTCAGTGATCATTGGCAATGTTGCCAGAATCTGGTAACAGTTTGTCCATTATCAAGAGATATCAATTACACTTTGCAGGAAATTGGACTGTCGCCATTTTGAATGCATTACAATGAAATGTATTATTGTAAAAGGATTAGGGGGAAAACCGTCTTTATATCTGAATTTCTTCCTTACAGAACAACTTTAAAAGAGCATTTGAGAATTCACAGTGGAGAAAAACCACATCTCTGTAGCATTTGTGGACAGAGTTTTCGTCATGGAAGCTCCTATAGGTGATACATTCTATACTATAATGCCACGATCAGTTATGCTCTGAAATGACTTTGTTATGGTGTTTATAGGTAGTTTGTCATTAAAGAGTAGAATTGAAATTCAGTATGAATTACTACAATAAGAGAAATCCCTATGGGGGAAGTTATTTTTAGATTTTAGCAAAAAATGGACTCTTGATAAGCAATCCGTACCAAAGTTTGCTCCTCTGAATTGTCATATTTCCAAGTAGATGGGTACAAAATTTAAATATAATTTTTACCCATCCACTTGGAATTAAGGCAACTAGATTCCATGACCCATTTTTCCCCAAAATTCAAAACTATTTAGACTTAATAAAATCAGTATCAGCATACAGTATCTACCCAGAAATAGTACAGCAATGTCTCAGAGTAGATGGTATCATTGTTGGGTTATATTAATGTAGATTTTCACACTTAAGTTATGCTTAATGTAAGTTTTGTAACCTTAGTGTAAGTTATACTAATTTAGATTTTCAGATTTGAATATCATGGTACATTAAGCATGCAGATGCTAATCTTGTATCCCTGTTAATACTGGCTTCATCTGCGAGTCCACCATGATGATAAGAGATATGAATGTGAAGAATGTGGAAAAACATTTATTCGCCATGATCACCTTACAAAACACAAAAAGATACATTCAGGTAAGGAGTGGCATTGACGTTACCTTTTTCAATCAAAGAATCCAGGAACATAGTGTTCGTTTATATTTCACAAAATAATGGACTGCTGAAAGGAAAGGATGTCTGTTTTCACCATGACTGGTTAGAGATGAAGAGGATGTATGCCAACATATGTGGCCTGACTGTTATTTGCAGAACAGATATTCCATGAATGAAACGGCTTCTACTCATGGAAAACACTGAGGTACACCAGAATGCAACGATTTTCTCATGGAGGAACTGCATATTTTAAAGTTATTTTTTTCAGCAGCCAAGGGTCACAGAATGTAGATCAGTGGTGAAATTAGTGGTGGAACCAGGACACAGTAAACTCAATTCCATCCCCCCTCCCCACACACACACCTTCAAGATAATAAATTTAATTTTAAAAGACAAGTTAAGCCTATGAGCAGTTTATTTTATTTTATAAATCCTACTTTTCTCTCTGAGTCCCAGTCTTGGCGACATATATATTATCATGACCTGATGAGCCTTGGACACTGATCCCTAATTTATTTATTTTATTTATATCTTTCCTTTATTTTATGGAGCTCAAGGTGACTTACATCATATTCCCTTCTATTATTTTCTCCACAATAATCTTGTAGGTCCCCCCCGACCTGTGAATCACCCAGAAGCAGGATT